GTTGGAGTAGGGCAAAACAACCAACTCGGGCTGGTGGCTAACAAGGACTTAAACGTACGAGCTTATATTACAAGAGTAGAATATCTTACTGTATGTCTCTGTCTTTGGGACATAAGGACCATCTGCCTGCTGGGGCTTTTTAAAGAAACAGCTTCCTTGGCACCATCAGGAAGAACACAGGAGTGAGAGGGAGGGAGGCCAGGTGTCAGGGATGGGACTGCCAAGGTGTGCCCCCTTTTCATGCAGGGTGACTCCCTGGCCTCGCTGGCCTTCACCGCTCTTAGAAAGCATTGGTAGTCGCACTGTGACCCGCGGGGTGCCATGAGAGGCAGACAACAGGGCCAAGGGAAGAGCGCTTTGTGAGCTGTAAAATGCTGTGTAAATATTATTAAAGCAGAACAGAATATAGGGACGTTAGCCCTCCAGAGTCAACGGGGGAAGTGTTCTCAGTCTCTAGAAGAAGAATTGTTAGGACGTAATGTGTAAAAATATTACTTTTGGGGGGTAATTTATAAATAGATCAGAGTGTTTAAAATAACACAGAGCGGCTGAGTGGGGGTCGAGGGGGTCCTTCTGCAATGGGTTTCTTTTCTTCTGCTTTGTTGCCTGGAAGGATCAAAACCAACATCACCACACACGCGTTTCCTGCCTCTCCCCTGGCAAGTTATGCTCCCTACATCCAGTCTGAAATATTCTTTTTTAAAGAACTCTTGGAAACGATATTCTTAAATAGTGCTTTGATTTTTTAAAAAAATTTATTGTATTGCCCAACCCTTCCTAACCATGGAAGGAGGAGGAAGAAGAGGAAGAGGAGGAGGAGGAGGAGGGGAAGGAGGTGAGGAGGAGGAGGAGAAGAAGAAGAGGAGGAGGAGAAGGAGAATAATGATAATAATATTATAATCTTTGGAGGTGCCAGGCATGTGGCATGCCACCTATTGAATCCCCTGCCAGTCTCACAGGGTGGATGTTAATGCTGTTTACTGTAAGGGGACACCTAAGCTCAGATAGGTGAAGTCATCTAGATGGGATCACACTGAGTCTTACTGGCTCCCAGTTTGTTCTCCATACCATATACCCTGTCCTTCCCACTATGGCTGGCCTAATGTCCCCCTCCCTTTCCTCTCCAGAAACCTGAAAAGACGTGGGTGTCTGGGCTCTTCTTCCCCACAGAAGGCAGGAAGAGGCTCTCTCTTACCGTTGGGAACAACTTCCCAAGCACTGGCTTGCTGGCCAGGCAGGACCCATCCCTTTCTGTCCCCTCGTAGCTTAATTGCCCTGCTTTCCTCTGTATGAGTTTCCAGACTCTGGGCCAACGGCCTTAAAAGGCAGGTAGGGGAGAGCGCTCTGCCGGGCTGGCAGCCGGCCATCAACCCCAGATCTGCTGCTAGCCGCTTCAGAAAGAGATCAACATGGAAGGAAGGCGGTTTTTTTTTTTCCTCCAAAGTGAAATTTACATATCAGAACCTTGCTGACTGAGGCAGAAATGAAGGCCTGGGGGTGGGGACCAAGCCTTTGGAGGGGAGTGGGTGCTCATTTTATGACCCAGGAATGAAAACATTGTGAATAATGAATAAAGTCCGAAAGCAGTAAATCTGGGGCTCCAGAGGAGGGGAGTAACGTGTCAGGGAACGGTTTAAGTCCTCGCCTCTCCTGCAGAGGTGCAGCCCAAGTTTCATTAAATAGCTTTTAAAGGTTAGGATTACAAGAAGCCGAGTCCCCCCTGGTTCATAATGGTGATTTATGACTGTGTTGTCGACTCCTCGACCCTTCTGTACGAGGGGATGGAGAAAATACATAATTTGCCGCTCATTAACTGTGCAATCTGTCAGGGCGGCTCCAGGAGCCATGTGGTCCCGGAGCCTTGTGTCTGCTAAGTGGCTTCAGCCCGGCTGTCCTGGGGACACACGACGGCTTCTCCACCAGAGAAAATGGTTTTGATAACAATAGAACTAACAAGTTAATCTCTGGGCAGCCCACACCGTATCTTTGAACTGAGAGGCCGTGTGGGCTTTCCTCCTCTGTCACTTACCAACATCCATCCTTCCGAGCCCCAGAATTCCCATCTGTATAGCCAACCGGCTTGCCTTCTGGACAGGGTGTGGGCCAAATGAAACAATAGTTTAAAGGAACCGAGAAAAGGCTGGAACTAACACTGTCAGGGGTGTGAGGTAGCATACGGTCTATTATTGTCCTCTCTTCATCTTCCCTTCCCGCCAGGATCCTCACTCGTAGCTCTCCAAGATGGCCCCACCGAATGGTGCTTGAGCCAGGATTTCTTTGTCTAACTCAGTGGCCTGGTCCTGGAACCGCATATCAATCCAAGGGCAGGCATTGTGCCCAGGACCTTGGTTGTGCACCTTGCTTGTAGGTGTGTTTCACAAGTAACCTTCTACGGTTGTCTCTTACGTGTTGCCGCTGCTTGGTTAGGAAGCTAATTTGAAAGATAGCACATCAGAGAGGAGGGCGAATGGCATTACTCTCCTGAAGTTCTAAACCGCGATTCTGCAAGTAGAGAACGTGTTCCAGATTCCTCCAGCCATGGCTACTTGATCCTCGTTCAGTGTCCATCCCCCCCCCTCCAGGTAAACACACCTGAGTGTGATTTGTGAGTAAAGAATCAGAAGTCAGCCAGTGAGGCTGTGGTCGCGGACATCTGGAACGTGTTAGCCTGTGAGATTCCGTACGGTAGAAGCCTGAACAGGTTGGAAAAGGGAATTAGATCAGGAGCGGTAGGAAAAAACATTGGGCAGAGGGGAGCGCGTCTGGGTCCAATCTTTGGGCGCAAGTTAATTTGGGCTCTAGTCTCACCGGCGTAGAATGGCTGCTTTCACATGTGACTTGCCACACCGCTCCAACTTTAATCCCTGTGGCATGTTATCAGAGGGACACTGATTGACAAGGATCAGGGGACATTTCCAGTTGGGCAGTCAAGAGGATTGACTCTTCTCCTGCTCCCTGACATCTTGTCTGTTCCTCCAGTGACCGTTTCTGAGCACCTCCGGGGAGTTAAATATTAGTTCTATGTTCTCAGGGAATAGCTAGGCAGGTGTGCTGACTGGGCCAGCCTGGAACCATCCCTCTCTGGGAGAATCATCCTTGGTGTGCTCTGGGGAAAGTGTGACACCAATGGATACAGTGCCTTTGTCAACCAGGGCTCTTGTGTCAGCATTGTTCCCACTCCTGTGCCGGCTTGTCCCTGGGCCCTGCTGGCGTGTCTGTTCTCTACACCCTCCTTCCTATACTTGGAGGCCTTTGAGGACCCGGATTAAACTCAGCCCGCAATGCCTTACCCCACTATCAGGAATAACGGAACCTCTGCAAAGGAGGGCCCCGGATGTGCCCATCGATTGCTTCCCTTGTGGTTGTGAGCCTCTCTGCTCTCTGAAAGGGCAAGTGCGGTTCATCCTGCTCCGTGGGAGGAAGTGTGAAAGGGAATGTTGTGGTGAGCTATGAGCTGACTGTCGCCATCCCTGGCCTGGGCTTGCAACCAGGAAGTGGCCACAGCTGTGCTGTGGAGTTAAGCGCTGCCGGCTGCACGGTTGTTCATCACCCAAGGCAGTTTGGTCCAGTGACTGAAGAAACACCATCCACGTGTGCATCGCCAAAGGCAATTTGGCCAAATGACAGAGAGTCGCCATCCACAATCACCTTATAGAGTGACAGCTGGCCCATGCTTAGGGGATAGAGCACATTGCAGAAGAGCGTGCGCGCTGGCCTCTCTTCGACTTTCAAACCTAAGGAGACAATAAACCCTGACTGAGGAATTCAGACACCTAAACGCACCGTATTGAATGTTGACTTTCATTTCAGTGTTATGAAAGCTTTTGCTTGTTTCTGAGACAGAGTCTCCCTGTGGAGCCCAGGCTGGCCTTGATCGTCCTGCCTGAGCTTCCCAGTGCTGGCATTGCAGGTGTATGCCACGGTGCCCAGGTTAGACCGGTGGTTTTGCTATTGTTGTTTTCATAGTACTATATGTGTAAGAAGTAAAATAGGGCCGGAGATGCCACTCAGTGCTGGGGCCTTGGGTTCAGTTCTCAGTATAGAAAATTAAATAGATAACTGTTAAATAATGAAAGTAAATTAAGTCTCTCTTCCCATGACTCAGCACATTCCTGCCAGTGCTGTCTCATACATCAGCGACTCCGCATAGGCCAGCAACCTCCTTCTATGGGGAAGTAAATGAAGTCTGAGAGGTTTTGTGCTGAAGTACGTGGGGAAGGGTGCTCCTGGATTCACTCAGGAGCTGACTGCTGTATTTACTGTGGACTGTGGAAACGCCCATCAACGCCAGCACCAGGGCCAAACTAGCATTAATACACATCGCAGAACCCTAAGATTCGCTCACATGGGTCCCTGACATGTAGCCACTCTTTTTTGTTTATTTGTTTGTTTGTTTTCGAGACAGGGTTTCTCTGTGTAACAGTCCTGCCTGTCCTGGAACTAGCTCTTTTAGACCAGGTGGGCCTCGAACTCAAAAAGATCCGCCTGTCTTTGCTTCCCGAGTGCTGGGTTTAAAGGCGTGCAACACCACTGCCCAGCGAGTCTTTATTTTCTTTAGTTTTCTGTAGATGAGTCTTTTTTATGTACACATATATACATTAGTCTCAAACACACATGTATATTTATACTTGGCGAATTTATTGTTGTTACAGAGATATTATAACAATGTAAGAATCTTTTTTTTTTTTTTTGGATTTTCTAGACAGGGTTTCTCCATAGCTTTTTGGTTCCTGTCCTGGAACTAGCTCTTGTAGACCAGGCTGGCCTCGAACTCACAGAGTATAAGAATCTTTTTAAAGAAGGAAATGACAGCCATGTCATTCATACTTTGGTTGTTTCTCTTGTGTCTATTTAAATATACGTATTTAAGTAGGACATTAAGATTCTGCACCTTTTAGTTAAATAGTGACTATATTCCCCTATTGTCACTAAATGTGGTCTGCCATGTCACTTTAAGGATGTCTCAGCTCTCCCTAACTTCCTTTTTGGTTTCTTTTCAGATCATCACAGGGGAATTCTACCGGATCTATTACCTCAAGGAGAAGTCCCGATCCACCATTCAGAACCCTTATGTGGCCGCTCTGTATAAGCAAGTGGGCTGCTTCCTCTTTGGCTGTGCCGTTAGCCAGTCCTTCACAGACATCGCCAAAGTGTCCATCGGGCGCCTGCGGCCTCACTTCCTGAGCGTCTGTAACCCCGATTTCAGTCAGATCAACTGCTCCGAGGGCTACATTCAGAACTACAGGTGCAGAGGAGAAGACAGCAAAGTACAGGAGGCCAGGTAAGATGCCACCCGCACACAGACTCTTGACACAGTGTCCTTTGGAGAGCATCTACTGAACATCCCAGGGGCCGGGGTTGGTTTAGATGAGGGAGAAAGTGTGGTACCTACGCTGGAAGAACTCATAGCCTACTGATATTGAGACAGATGTGTAAATACATCGATGTGATATAGCATCGGTAAATCCATTCCTTCATTTATTCCTTCTCTTGCTCGTTTATGCATGCCTGCTAAGTTCCAGGCATGTTTCCAAAGTACTACCAAGAATGCAGAAATGAACAAGATTTGGTGTCTGCTGTCAAGGTCAGAGGCTAGGAAGGGAAGACAGGAGAGTGGACGTTGGGGATGTGACTATGGTCCTTTCATGGCCCCCTCTTGTTCTTGCAGGAAGTCCTTCTTCTCGGGCCACGCCTCCTTCTCCATGTTTACTATGCTGTATCTGGTGGTAAGTTTCTGTTCTCTGACAGGAGCAGACCCAACCATAGCTTACCCCCTTGGTATCCCTGAGGACGTAGTTCTTGTGAAATCCTCGAGGAAAAAGACCCCGGGCACCTTAAATCTCATTGGAGCGCAACACTGCCGTAGTAGAAGTCCTGTTAATGTCTAGACTTTTTCTAGATAAAAGTCTGTTCACCCTGCTGCTAGATAGGGACTCTGTGTCCAGTTTGAAATTACAGCGTGATAGAAAGTACTTGCCTAGTAGTTTATGGTACCGTCGCTGCTTGTACAATCATAACCTTGTTACAGACATTGCTCAGGACTAGGAAAAGATGATTAGACCCAGAGAATCCAAGTGAACTGTCAAATCTGCAAAAGCCCCAGCAGTGACTTTCATACCCAAGGCTTCTGCTCTGGTTCTTGCATCGCACACTGTCTGGGTTTGTTCCCATAGTGTACCCTTTGAAGGATTTCAGGGATCCTCATTGGGTCCCTCAAACATTTTAAGTCATTGATACGGGAGGAGGCACACACACACTCTGGCGTGTCTACGACAGTCAGATTCGATTCTGTCTTCCACCCTCCCCTGACTTCCAGGGACTGAGCTTGGGTAATCAGGCTCCCTTGCATTGTCCAGTAGCAAGTGCCTTTACCCTCTGAGCTGTCGTCTCTTTGTCCTTCGCTATCTCAGTTGCTGAGAGTGATCTTGGCTGTTACAAAGTACTTCTTTATTTGTTTTAAGACTTGTTTATTTATTTAATGTACACTGGTATTTTGCCTGTATATATCTGTGTGAGGGTGTCAGAATTTCTGGAGCTGGAGTTACAGACAGGTGTGAGCTGTCATGTGGGTGTGGGAATTGAACCCGGGTCCTCTGGAAGGACAGCCGGTGCTCTTGACTGGTGAGCCGTTTCTCCAGCCCCTACAAAGTACTTTTAGTACATATTCCTGTTTCCTGGATCCAGGGGCAGTAAGAAGTGTGTCTGAGTTCGTTTGCCTTGGAGGCTGGAGATGCGATTTGGATTCGCATGTCCTTCCCCAGCTGACTTCCTCGGACATGCTCCGACCGTGCAGGTGGACAGGCTCCCAACACTCTAGCTGCCCGGTGGCCAGCAGGCCGCTCTGCTTCCCTTTGCCAGTCTTTTCCCACCTTTCCTCCCGCCTCAAGTGAGGTCCCCAGCCACTTCCTGCTTTCTTCAGCTGCTCCGGTGGAGTTCAGAGCGAGTAGGTGCCACGAGGTCAGGCATAGCTCCCAAAGTGGAAGCCGTTTGGAAAAAGAACATTTTGATTTCAACTTATTTAAAAAACATAATTAGGAATCGGAAAAAAAACAGAGTTTGTTTTGTTTTGCTTTTTCCCCCACTGCTTTCCAAGTTCAGAGGCCTCTGGCTTCCCATTACCCAGGATGCAAAGCTGAAAGGTAGGCCCCAGCCTATAAAAACATTCGAACCTGGGCCTTATTTATTCATGAATGGCACCCCCCCATTCTTCATTTGCTTGTTTTTGTTTTGCTCTTAAAAAGGATAATTTAGCAGATATTTAGGTTTCTGTTCCATGTGTGTATTTTACAAGGGCTGGAAGCAATTTCGCAAACGTAATTTCAGTATTTTGTAAAAGTGCTTAGGAGAATTGTATGTGTTCATCCCTTCCACCCCCACCCCACGTCCCTTCATTCTATTCCAAGAGAAAAATACTGAATTCTTTTGAAGTCAGCTCTGGGCAAGATGGCCTTTGCAGCTGCCCAGGTGTGTGTTGACATGTTTGGGGTGCAGGTTTGGGGGCCCTGCTGTGTGCCAGGCACTATACTATGGGTCACGACAAGGCATTTGCTTTTCTGTAGCTTGTGGGCTTGGCTTTGATTATCTTGTTTGTGGAAATAGACTTGAATCTGAGAAGTTAATACCGACATCACAGAGCCAGAGCCAGGAGAACAGAAGGACACTTGAAGGGTGGTCTTCCCCAAGGGGCACTGTTGCCTCTTCTCTTTATATTGGCTACGAAAAAAAAAAAAAAACAAAAACAAAAAACAACTCAGAAAAAAACCGAAAGGAATGCGAGCTCTTGACCTAATTTCAGCCACACCTGAAGAAGAAGAGATCTGACCTGCCCTTCTTCCCATCTGCTTTCACAGTTGAGGTGGTTCCACACCCTCGCCTGGCCTGCCTCACTCCACTCCAGCCTTTCACTAGCTGTGGTCACAGAAGGGAGTTGGTACAAAGGATGACTGAGCGAGGCTTGCGTTGTCATCAGAGATTTATTTGTATCCCTTTGAGGGAGAAAAATGTGTAGTGCCTTCTTCCTGGTGAAAGAAAGGAGGGAGAGGAGGGGAGGGGGACATGCTTAGCCCTTGTCTCTTGGTATATTCTCTCTCTCTCTCTCTCTCTCTCTCTCTCTCTCTCTCTCTCTCTCTCTCTCTCTCTCTCACACACACACACACACACACACACACACACTCTCTCTCTCTCTCTCTCTCTCTCTCTCTCTCTCTCTCTAATTACACACAACCACAGGATCTTGGGAACTTGTGCAAAGATACATATATGCACTGTCCATTCTTGAAGACAACCACACATTCCGATCCAGACAGACAGACAGACAGACAGACAGACACACACACACACACACACACACCCCACACACACAGAGCTTACCTCCCGCCCCGCCCCACCCCGCCCCACCCCGCCCCAAGGTTATCTGCCTTAAAGTAATCTCAAAAGGCTGGCAATTTGAGCAGTGCTCCTTCCTAGCCCTTGGCTTTGTGTGATATTCCACACAAATCCCAGTCCTTCCCAGGTCCCACTCGCAAAACTTCCCTCAAGGAGGTTTGAAGCTCCCTGCCTGGGAGTGGAAATCTTGCCATCAATGAGACAAGCCCTTCATCCCACTCCCAGGGCTTTTATGTTGGGCCTCAGGAAGTGCTACAGTTGGACCTGGATCCTGGCCTACCCTCCACGTACCCTGAGCTTTCTCTGACAGCCTGAGATCCACGGCTTCCCTGGAGCATCGGGGAGGATCATATGGGAACCAGCTGAGCGTGGTGCACCCGCACCCGTGTTGCTTTTGCCCCTAGAATCAGACAGATACTGACTCTGCTATTAGCTAGCTGTGAACTATGAGTGAGAGACTCATCAGCCTCTGTCTACTCATCTGTAAAATGGACACTGTCACGTCTACCTGAGAGAGTGGTTACCACTAATCCGGCCCTACATCCTCCATCTGTCAAGTGAAAAAAGAAAAAGGAGTGAGGGCTGGTGCTGTTTATCACGCAGTCTGCGTGTTTTTATTTGGAAGAAGTTTAAAGTCCTCTGTGTGATGAAAGAGGAAGGGAAGTCATGAGGGCCAAACTTCTGGCCATGTAAGCCTGGAGTTCAAAGACGGGCTGACTAAAAACACCAGGCATCCCCACAGCAGGCCTGTCAGCTTCAGCCATCAGCAGCAGCAGCTTCCAGAGCTTTGAAAGGCACTCCAGACTGGGTTTGGATTTGCAAAATGGGTGGCTTGGAAAAACCATGGACGAAACACCAAATTATCTCTGGGCATGGAAGCTTAAGGATGAGGTTAAGGTTTGTTAGAGATTGCTACAGCACAGAGAAGCATACACCATGCCTCCCACCTCGGGGCTTTGGCCTCCATCCCTGAGGACCACATCTGGATTGGTTCTTTGCCTCCACGGTCAGGGCACGAGGACAGTGTAGTTAGCCGGATAAACACCAACACTAGAGCAGGCACCCATTTATGTCGCACACCTGGTGTCTGCACTGTGTACCAGATTCTCAGATACCATCCAGAGCTCCTGGGATGCCTCGGACCTGGGATCATCCACAAGAAAACCACCCATTCAGCATTTGGCAAGTATTTAGTGAACAGCTAATAGGTACCAAGTGCCATGATAAGAGTGGGAAGATGGAATTTGGTAAGGCATGGTCACGGTGCTTCAAGAGTTCCGGCAGAGGCCCTAGGAAGATAATGACGATAATGTGGCACCTTGTGCCCAAGCGATCGGGAGATAAGTAGAGTATTATGGCTATTTTGGAACTGTGGTCTGCTGGAGCAGATACGTGAAGACAAGTCTTGTGAAAACGGGAGGGAGCCACAGCACGTAGAAGCACACTCTGTGCCTCCCACCTCCAGAGTGTCAGCTGTCCAGTTCCGTACTGCTTGGTGGCCAGAAGGCAGCAGGAAATAATACTGATCACTGACCTCCGCGATAGGGAACTCTGCGTTCACCGTTTCCTTCTGCATTGCACATTAGGCTATGGTGGGTTTACGTGCAGGCTCCTCCTTCCTTGGAAGGCAGCACCTTGCCCAAGTTTGACTTTTTTCAGGTCTCCTTCTCAGAGAAGCCCTCCCCGACTGCCCTGTATAAAATAGATAGTCTCGTCCTCCATCATAGGTCCTTCCTGCTCTCTTCACACCTTTAATGAGTGTGCAGTGCGTATTTGATGGGTGAAATGAGTGTTGGGTGAGCCTCGGGTCACTAGACGGTCGTAGGTCAATGGTCATTTTCAGTCCAATAAGTTGCTTTTCATTCTACTCATGGAATTGCTAGATTACTAAGAGCCCTGTGGTCTAGGAGCAAGGCTTTTGCCTCTTCCCTGAACCCTTTCCCCATTGGCTTCTGCTGTGTTGTCCTGTGAGAAGTGTTTGTGTGTGTCACAGGATGTGCTGGGTACCAAGGAAACAGGGAAGTGGCTGACCTCTGACGGCCACATTCTCCAGGCTGTGGTTGTTAGTCATTGAGGTTTTGTTCAATAAGTTTGAAACCCCAGAGCATAGGATCTGGGGTGCCCATGAGGCATTCCCACAGATCCTGGAAGAACGTGTTCCGACCTCTCATAGGGACATGATTGCTGTCTCTAGGGGGAGAGAAGCATAAACCACTGTACCAGATGTCTTTCTGCTTCATTCCGTCTGTCTATCCATCCACCCATTTGTAGGCACTTGCTGTGAGCCAGGAGCTGTGTTAGCACCTGGAAACCCCAAAGATGCTCTCGGAATTTGTGGAGA